GGAACCTTGCTTGAAGAACAGCAAGCAGCGGGATATTATTCTTTTAGTAGACAAAGTCATAGAAGCTGTAAAAGGCTTGAAAATTGATATGGTTGCTGAAATCGATTAAATCCTCAGTGAAATGCATAAATCATTAGGTGTATAAGGAATCTGAGGTTAGCACATCCAACGAACTGCGGTGACTGCCGGGAAGACACTGGTGAACTAGAGAAATGTGGTGTTAGTACTCCTGTTCAGTGAGACTGTGGAAACGGCTCCAGTTATTAGGGCATGATCATGCTGAGCCTTTCTGGAAAATTCTACGCAAAGATGTTGTAAGAGAAGTGCCGTGGAAAAGTTGATTTTAAGATCCAAGAAGAGCAGTATGGTTTCAGTTCAGGCTAAAGCACCTTTGACCGGATTTTAGCCTCACGTCCGATTCCTGAGAAATCATGATAGATCGCGCATCCAGTTTATTTGTACTTCGTTGACATGGAGAAAGCAAATGACCGGACCCCGAGCCACAAGCTGTGGTCGTACTTCCAAACATATGGGATCTATGAACAGTTGACAAATCCAATCGCTAAACGGTGATAAGGGCGCTACGTCAGAGTAAATTAAGTCGAGGGCTTTCAGCATTGGCACTGGTTTTTACCAAGGCTGCGTCCTGTTCCCTATCCTGTTTGTGTTGTACATGGATAGAATAGTCAGGAGCTGCCAGGGCGATGAGGGTATCGGTGTAGAAGATGTGAAGACGAGGAGGTTGTTGTTTTATTGGCATCTTAAGCAATGATCTACAGCGCTTTCTGGAAAGGTTAAAAACTGAGTGCAACGTGTTCGATGTCCGTGTGAACGTATCTAAAACGAAAAGCCTAGTGCTTCCTTGTTTTCATACCTTTTGCTTTCTTCAAATAATCAGAGAAACAGTCAAGCAGGTGAAGAAGTTCAAGTACTTCGAGATCCTGTTTACTGATGATGGAAAATTTGAGGAAGAGATCGACCAGCGGATTGGAGTAGCCAGTGGCACTTTGCTTGAATTAACCCGAACCATTGTAACTAAAACAGAGCTGAGTCTGAAGGCTAAGATCTCGGTGCTCAAGTCGATATTTATTCCCATGCTTACCAACAGGCACGAGTCGGGAAGATTGATTGAAAAACTTTGATCGCAGGTACATACAGTGGAAATGGGCTTTCAGAGAAGAATCGCTGGGCTCATGAGTCCGACATGGTTCTGAGTACAAATATTCGAGCGGGCCTTGGTATACACTGGTATAGCCTCTGTTTCCTCGCATTGGCAAATAACAGTGTGACGATTTTAACACACGTTTCGAATTCCTCTGGAAAGGAAGACGAAACAGCTAATAGCTACTCAACCGACCCACCGAAGACTCTGAGGAAGGCCAGGGATAACCTGGGACAAGTGTGCCGAAGGACTCTGCTGAAAATTCAGGTTATCTCCTGCTGAAGCTCAAACGGTGGCACAGGATCAGGAATGTTGGAGACACTGCGTTACGGACTTGCCTCCGTGACCTGGAAGGATAAGCTGCAATCGAAAATGATTGACTGATACCTATCTCTATATGATTGTTTTGTATGAAATTTACTAATTGTGAAAACAGCTTTGAGATTTTGAGCAGTACTCTGTCAAAACCACTAATACTAGTGAAGATCTTGAATTCATGAAAGGTGAACTTCGTAAAGAGGAGATTTCGCACAGTAGTATGCACTGGATTTCGTACCTTTTTGATAATCCTAGTTTGTTGCTCAGGATGAAACAAGGACTAGATTTGGTGACGGCCAAAACTGGTCAGAGAAATAAGTTGAGTTTCTGCGTCGTAAGGGGTCTATAAGTATAGGAGGACTGGCATACGTCGAAAATTATTCTGATGTGCTTCATTCTCTATTGGGTCGTTTGGGTTAGTTTTTTGCGACACAGCAGTTATGTTCTCGAATATACCTTCGTGTCAAAATATGATGACTTTTATGTCGACCGCACAAATTCATAATGCGCCCTTGCTTACCATTTTACTAAGAGTGGTTAGGAAAACGTTGAATGATGATTAAATGTCATCGACGTCGGCGTAAAATTAGAAGCTCTTTGACCTCATTCAAGCAGTTTCATTAGGTCGCAGTCAACGTTTCTTTTCCTTCGACTTCCTGCTGCCTTGTTCTTACTCTTACCTAATACCCAATAGCCAGATGTTGTCAGATTCCTTAAGGTGAATCTGTCTATCTAGTTTCATGGACCGCATTTCTCCGACTCTATTTGTAATGAACGAATGTGGATGGTTGATTTCACGGTAGAAGAAATGAGATACGTTTTCGTTCCCTTGACGTTGGACCATTCACAGATCTAGTAAATTTTGTTTGCACCGGTTCAGTAGACCTTCTTGGCACTGGTTCTCTCCTGAACTGCTACTCCATGGCGTGGTTGCAGTGTGCTGAAAAGTTAGATTTTGAACTCCGGAGATGTGAGTCTCGAATCCTTGTTTTAACCACGAATTCTCTTGAGCAAGATTTACTACACGTCGTTTCAGACGGGAGTTGCTCAGTCGATAGAGCGCCAGACTTAGAACCGGAAGGTGCCGGGTTTTCGTGCCTAAGTCGGTCAATCGCCTTTCTTCTTTCCGAGGTTGATCAATGAACATCACTCTACGAAAAGCAAGCAGAAAAGTATACACTATGCATGTACATAGCTGCTGTTGACCTTAGCTTTAAAATAAGGCATTCCTGGTTGATGGCATAGAAGGGCACCTTACCATTAACTTCATGAAAAGAAGAGTTACAGAATTGGCCTTTCAAATAGAGGTGTAAGAAAAGCAGAAATTTCACTTTAAAATGTTCTTTTCTCCCATGGTCAACAGTAAGTTGTAGCTGGTTCCGGTTATTTTAGCTATTCAAAGCAATGGCATATATAACATCGTTTTCTTTGCAAACGAGTGCCGAGAATCCTGCCTCCACCTGTTCGACGAAAACTTGCTGACATCGATTTTCTTCAACACCCAGATATGGGTAGCGGACCTTTTATGGACGCACATTATATGCCTGGTTTCAGTGGTTGTTTGATTTAATGAGGCTCCACTTATTTCCCTGTTCAAAGTGACATCAGTGTGATGTTGTGCTATTGGTAGAACAGAACTACAAACACCGCTGTTTGCTTAATTATTGAAGTATATGCATGAAAATGCTAAGGTTAAGTTCCATTTTGTATTTACATTGCCAATTTTACTCACTCACCGAATTCCTCTTTTATTCCCACCTTTAGTCATTTCTACTTATGAAGATATGGCGAGGTCTTGCGTCGTTGGCCCTAACGCCTAACTATAGTGAGAGTTCAACTAGTTAAATCCATCATATCATAAGCTCTATTCACCATACCATTAAATTTTACTTGTTATTGAGCGTATGCGGCTCGTGAACATCCCACTTTACCCTAGCAACCCTGCCTAATGCCCAATTTCTCTCGTAGATGTTTTGGGTTCACCAGAGCGCCGTGTACGAGTTGGAAGCAGTAAAAGTGCACACGACAAAATCTACGAAAGAAATTATTGACGATAAACAACGACTTACGCAGGCCATACTTATCGAGGAATGGCTAATAAATCATCATGTCACCATTGCGAATACCCATTTAAATGGACGCGCCATTACGGGGAACAGTCACCTCAGGAATGCCAAGGACTTCTTCAACGAGGACAAGTCAAAGTGTGGAAATAGTGTTATCGTTTCAGTACACTGCTTTATTTTATATGAACTGTGGTATCAATAGTAAGACGGTAACTATTGTGCATTGACTTGAACATGACTGAAAAAAGTTGAACACGCTAATCGCCTTTATCTATACGGAACCGAGCTGATTTGAGCAATGCCCTCATTTGCCCACTAGATCTAATAGCGCACAGCTTTGTCATACTCACTTGAGCAGTAAGTACGAACGATGGACTCCACTACTTTCGTCTGCAGTTCCAGGGAAGATATTGCTTTCTTCTACAGAAGATGAGGTCTGTTTACCGGCCCCTGGTTATCAACACTCGATTAATTTATCAATTTGAAATTTCCTGCTGGCCGTCTTCGTTGCCCTAATTGCTGTAGCGACTAAAACAGATATTTGTGTGCATTGTTACACAGGGAAGTCAATATACTTTTACATTCTAAATATTCCATCGTATAAATAAAAAAAATGCTATTGTTCGTGATATATTAAATACTAACAGGTGGCCGGAAACTTTCTTGTGAATCACTGAATCTTCGATGCAAGCAACCTGTATTATCGTAGCATTTTCGCCAGAAGCCTGAAGCTTCGATTAGCTGAAAACAGCTGAAGCAATGTGGTCCTTGAGTGTGATCATATCAAAACTTACCGTAATACTGATGAACGCCAAGCTTTAAATAGTTGAAATGGGTTATAAATGACTCAATGGTCAGCCTAGATCATATTATTTAGATCATATTTCTGTAAAGTGATCAGTACAGTGGCTTTAACTTTTCTAGCCTTATGTGGCACTGTCAACAAGGGGAAGCGTACGCAAATTAAACTAAATTTAAATACATTATACATAAAGTCTCATATGTTCGTCGCTGCCCTGAAATATTCATTTAGATTCGCTACGGTACTACTGCAAGCACAACTGACCTAGTAATAGTGGAGAAAGATAAAACGCAAGGTCTTCGTTACTATTACTACTATACTGTTATTTACCGCAGATTCTGGAGTTGAGGCGCCGATATTAATTTAAACAGTGTTTTATACTCATAGCAAAAATTTTCATATACATTTCATTTGAAGTAAGTAAGTTTAGGAATTTTGAATCCTACAGGCGTCAACAATTAGACGACAAAAGCGAACGGTAGGGTAGTTATGCTACAACGGAACACACTGCTTTTCCAGGTGTCAAGAGCATGGCAAACATGGCAAACAAATTAGCGACTGATTCGCTTCCTTACCTCTCAAGATCGGGAAGCCGGTCATGTCGCCAAGGGAACTGGCAGCTGAAACTCAAATTCTTCGTGATGAGGATGCTCAGTCGAAAGAGAAACATCTTACCCATGGCCAGGACGGTTAACAAAACGATCGGATATCCGAGGTACATTGTCCGCAACTTCAGCGCAGCAACAGTACAAAAAGTCATCGTCGTCGCACGGCGAAGGCGGGAACACTTGACAAATTCTTTGCCACTGGCAGTCGCCTATGGACGGATTGCTTTTCTAAGCGTCCGCGACGTGATTCGTCACGTTTTCGCCGTCTCTGAAATCGGCGGTGTTATTGACCTCCAATAGCGCTAAGGTGGTACTGAAGCCACGTGTTGGCCAACACGTGACTTTTTGGCCAACCGTCGGTGAGGGCTGTTAAATCTGTCAAAAATTCAACCAGTGTTTGGTCATATTCATAGTTAACCACTGCAGTGACTTAAGGCGTAAGCTTAGGAAACGTGCTTGCAGCTCGGGCGATAATTAAGTTACCGATTAAACCCTGAAACCGGTCGTAGTTTCGCAGTCACACCATAGGACCATAACCGACTTTCTAAAGCGTGTACAAATTAGTTTCATCAGGCAGTCATGAGAACGGGGATAAAATGCAAACACATTCTGACCTGGTAGATTCAACGAGGTAATGTGAACTGTTGATTGATTGGACAAAATCGCATATGAAGAAAACTAAAGAACATTTAATTTTCATATAAGTCCGATCAATCTGATCCTCAGCATAAAGACTAGACTGCATGGTGCCCTACAATGTGATCGGTAAAGCCTTTTTCAAGTCATTAGCTACGCTCGTTAAATCGGTGATCTGACTCTATACATTTCTTGATGTCACCTGTTCAGCATC